CGGGGGGGGTCGGCCGTGCCGCAGCCTTAGTCCCTGCTGGGGGGGTCCCCGATGGCTGGCGGGTCCCCTGGGAGCTGGACGAGCCCTTGCTGCCACCAACCCTCCCTCTTCCGCCCTCTCTCCGTACACATCGCCTCTGGGTGCTCAACCTCCCATGGCCTTGTGCAAGGTGCAGCAGGGTGGGGATGAGCCCCAAAAACCTTGGGCGAGGGGGGCACCTGGTGCCTCTGCACCCCCTCGCGTACACCCAGCCCTCCCCAGCATCCCACTCCTTCCCTGCCCCGAGCCCGCGGGAAGAAGCCACGTAATGTACATTTCCAGAGAAGCTTTGGGTGTAAATCAGTGTATACTTGGAGAGGGAAAATTTTTCTATCTTGTAGAGTAGGTATTTTTATAGAATGAAGGTTGATCATTTTTTAATACTTTAAAGAAGAGAGAAATGTATCTGTGTATACACAAAAGCATATATATATATGTATAAATATATAAATATCGGAGATCTGCCTTTCTCGACTTGGGATCATGGATCCCCAGTTCAAACAATCGTCTTTTTTCCTGTCGCTCACAAAGAGGTACTGTAACTGTAAATAAGCACCGGGAAAAAGTTTTAAGCAAACAAAGCACTGACTTGCACATTCACCATGCTTTAAAGTCCCTATGGAAAAAACAAAACCTGTACTTCCCGAAAATGTTCCTCTTTCCCCCCGGTATGTGAAGGAAGTCCCAAAAAAAGAGGCAACAACAGTATTGTCTTAAATGATGTATCAATTCTTGTCAAATTAAAAGCTGTTACTATTCCTGCCCGGAGAGCTTCTTTACCCTGGGGCGGCTCCGAGCAGCGGAGCATCCGAGTGCCAGGGCTGGAGGGGAGTGGAAATGCCGCTGCCCCGAAGAGTGCCCTGATTTTGGGGGGATGAGGAGGGGGGTGGCTGGACCCAGCTGTCTCTGGAGAGGTGGTCAAAGGGAGCCAAAACCTTCCCATCGGCCAAGCCGTGTGGGTGGGAGCCGGGGGGATCCACCCTTCGCTCCCCTGGTGGGGTCCAGGTGAGGGACCTTCGGCACTGGTGCTGTGTGGCCTCCCCCAGGGTGTCCCGCTGCGCTGGAGGGTTCAGGAAGACTGAGGTGGGGCCAGGCTGTGGCTCAGCACCAGCAGGGACTCGCTTGGATCTGCTCCAAGTGAGGACCCAGAGGCTTTCCCTCGCCTTTTCTACACTGCTAAACCCTTCTGAGCACTCAGCTGCTCTGAAAATCCCTTAAATGCTCTAAACCACCCTGCTAAGCTGCTCCACACCCCTCTGAGCTTCCCCCACCTCCTCCCAGCCACTGTAAGCCCCCCCAAAGGGCTTCAACTTGCAAAATACCCTCTCAGCTCCTGGAGCACCTTCGGATGACTCCAGACTGTAGCTCTGACTTCCTGCAAGCAGCCCTGGAGCACCCAGAGCTGCTGCAAAGAGCCCTGAGTGCTTCTGCGTGCTGGGAAATGCTTCTAACACACTCTGAGCTCTCTAAAACACCCCAAATTATTTCAAACTGCTCCACGCTCCTCTGAACTGCTCTAAAACATCCCTGACCACCTCTTAAACACCTCTGTAGGAGTCTAAACTGCTCTACACACCTCTAAGCAGCTCTAGTGTGCACCAAGATTTCTCTAATCACCTCTAAAAAGTCCTTTAAAAATTCCTCTGAAATGCCCAACCTCCCAAGAGCTTGAAGCTGCTCTAGAAATCAGGTAAGTGAATGGTTCTGGGGGTGCTGGTGCAACGCTGGGCCATTCAAGGAGGTGTAAACGGCCCGTGAAGAGCTTGGAGCTCTGGAAGGAAGGACCTCTGGGCAGCGCTGAAGCACTTGAATTGCTCAAATAGCTCTCGGGCTCCTCAAACCAGCCCTAAAAGGCACTGAGACGCTAAAACTTCTCGGAGCAGTTCGAAGTAGCTCTTAAAGTCCTCTAAACTCTTCTAAAACTCTTTGAAACAGCTCAAAATGGATCATAAAAAACATCTTGTAGCAGCTCTGAAGCACTCCAAGCCTCCTCGGCGTGGCTGTGAAATGCCTCAAGTGCTCTAATACCCTCTGAAAGGCCCCTCCTGCAGCTCCTGCAGACCTTTCTAATGTGCCTCTCAACAGCGTTAAAACTTTTCAGTGATGTCTCTAAATGTCTCCAAACAGTTTGAAACCACCCTAAACCCCCTCCGAATGACACCGAAGAGGCATAAGCAACCCTGAAACGGCTCCACGCTGCTCCAAAGCTGCTCTAAAACTTGGCAAAAAAATATTTGTAGCAGCTCGGAAGTGCTCCAGCTCTCCTGCACATCCTCCAAAAAAGTCTCTGAATGTCTTGAAACCTCTCCAGGATCTTCGGAGCTGCTCCAGAAAAGCCCTAAAGCTCTGAAGATCTCAGCGTCCTTCAGAATGGCTCCGGAATTGGTGTGAACTACCCAAGCTCCCCCAGAGCTGCTCTGAATCGCTCCTCCACAGTCTCGGCAGTGTGCTGGTGAGCCTTGGAGCCGCTGCAGGCAGCTCTGGGTTATTATTGATTACAAAAAAAAAATTAAATGCATTTCAATAAATGTATTTGCAATAGGATTAGAGACTTGTGGAGCTTTCATAGCTCCAAAACTCCTCGGGGAAGCTGAGCTGCTTCTGAAATGCTGCTCTAAACACCACTGAAGAGCTCCAGCTTCTGCCTTCATTGTGGTGGGATGCTCTGGCCGCGGATGGGGGGAAGCAGCAAGCACCGAGCGAGGGTTGGACCCTGGTTGCGGTGCCAGGGGTCCCAGCCAGCCCAGGGGGGGTCCCAGTGTCTCCCCACCGCTCTCGGCCTCAGGGTGCTTGGTGGGGTGGGTGTGGG